CCGCTGATCACTTGAATGAACAAGCACGATCGGCGATAATTGGCTGCTCCGATTATCATACGAGTCGTTGACCCGCTCACCGTGTCGACGCTTCTTCCATATTCCCGAATCCTTTCTGAGAGGATACAGACGTGCGAATATAGCGCATTTTGAGGAGCTCATCGAATACGAGAGCAGCGAATATCCTGAACTGTGATTTCTCCAAAACCTCGTCATATCCTCGAGTCCATCGTGATTCATGATGGATGATATGACGAACGAGAAGTTTTCCTTGAGGATTCCTACTTCTCAGAGCGGCGCGACGCTAGCCCGAGAAGTCCACACAGCCAAAGAAATCAATCAATCTATAGGATTCGAGTTTGGAGGAAGGCATCCGCATGCTCGAAGGAAAAACTTGATGCCTGACGGTGGTTCGTTTTTACATTCTCTAGTGACTAGTAATATGATTCGAATGCTTCCCTCCAAGGAATGCCTTTTCCTTGTCCTCCTCTCTTGGCCCCGCCTAGGGAATCCGCTACGCCTTTAATCGTGGGAACGTAATGGGCACATATTGAATAGCTTCAACCTCGGTGACGGAGTTGAACGCCGGCAATCGAGACGTCACCCCGTCTCCCGGACGGAATGCGATTAAAGCATGAGACAGACGGAGGTGTCCCCGAAGCGTCACTCAGCGGGACGTAAGCGCCTCAAGCCTATCCCACAAATCAATCCCGCCATGATGATGATATTCAGAGCATTGAATGCTATGAAAATTATCTCCACGTTTTTGAAGCCGATAGCGTGAAAAATCCCTCCGTCACCGAACATATTAAATCTCGAGTATCCCCCGCCGAGAACCGCAATAACTTTCTCCACCTTCTTCTTGATCTTTCGCGGATTTCTCACGAACTCATTTCCTCGCCTCCAGAACGTAACTTCGTTCGGATTCGCATTTCGGAGTGCAGCCGCTAAATGAGCGTGTTTAATCAAATCGTGCTCCAAGATCCGTCTCGTTGTTTCGATATGTTTCTCAAAATTCAGATGTCCAGCGTGACTCTCACGCCTCGCGCAGAGGGACTGAGATTCTTGTGTACCACGAACGAACTCGAACAGTAGTTTGGTGCGTAGGGGTATCAGTTGCAGTTGCATAAGTTCCGGATCATCGCAGACGGTGTGGTATCTTATAAGCCAGGCGAGCCTGGTCCAATTCAACATGCCGCTCGACATAAGAGAAGCAGATTCACATGCAACCTTTAAGTTCGACTCCACGACAGAGGCCTGCTCGACACTCTCCCCGACGAGGCTTACGATGCTGGAATTCCGAAAGCTTCGGAACCATTTGGCACGGTGTCCCATTGTGTCACATGAATTTACCATGCAGTTGGATGGTTGAATCCTTTGTTCATAGGTCGAGGACACAATTTCCCCTTTCAGTGCATTTATCGGGAATTGAATCAACAACGAGATGATGCCAGCGGTCAGGAGCGGTAGACTTGTCAGCCTGCTCGAGCGGATCATCGACCCGAAATCGTTGCCGCTCAGCAGGTGATAGGCGCTCCTCAACGAAGTCGGGGTTGGAAGGAGCGAGCGATTGTACCAAATCGAGAGCACGATAGGCAGAGACAGTATCGAAAACATCGTCAGAGGCAGTTCGAGCTTCAGATGCTGTGGAAGCTGCGAGACAAGTCGTCTTCTCCACGGCAGAGGATTCGCGAGACGAACGGCGACGAAGCTGTATGCGTACACGAAGTCTTTTTGACCCTAAAAGTCATTGATATTGGTCAAATTATCACTTCGTCTATATTTTCCAGAGGAAGTATGTCTTCAGCGGCACTATGCACAGAGAAAACACTCTTCATGCGGTTTGTGAGACTTCGCCGCGCGCCCCGAAGTCAGGCAAGCCACCACAAGCGATTTCAGAATCCATCCTTCTATGATCAGTCCATTTTCATATACACTCACCTGCAAGCAGCTGTTGAGTCGAATCACGCTCTCGTCGGCGTACATCCCATCCAGATCGAGTTTGAAGGCTCCGCTAGCGTTCGAAATATATTCTATGGGTGCGAATGCACTTTCGGCGTCATTCTCGTCAAACTTCTTCACGGAGAGCGGCAACACATTGTTTGCCAAAATATAACCCGATCTCTTGATGACGAAGCTTAAATGCGGAGACCCCTCTGTCTCTGCTAGCTCCCGTAGCAGGATGATTATGAATCGAAAACGATGTACGAAACCCCACCAAGGCAACGCGCGTTCGATTCTCCGGAGCAAGAGATCCTCACCTGTCTCCTCCCTGACTGCTCTGATATGCAGAAGTATACGTTTGTCCAGGTTCAAATTATGGAACAATAGATGATGTTTGTGACAACTCTTATACCCACAGGGATTGGTGATATCGAAGATCTTGTTCCCTTCATGACCAAGAGATATGAGAATCTCTCTATCGTTGAACTTGAGCATCACTGGTTCCTTAGCGAGGTAAACGTGGGCGTCGGGTAGACTCCAGAGAAAAGCAAACGACGCGCGGATCTTAGGCTCGATGTGGAGAACGAAGACCCATGTGAGCGAGGAAACGCCGTGCTTGCGGGAAAGAATCGCCTCACAGATTCTCTTTATCTCCTCGGAGGAGTCAACGAATTTCGAAAGTGGACGACGCTTACCCGGCTTGGCGAGAACGCTTTGCAACGCCAAAAACCGGAGGCAGAGCGTTGCGATGGACGGTACGATCATCACGGGTGAACAGGATCTCGACCCGAGCTACCGCGCAAAAACGTCGTGCCGTGGCTCTCCAGCGTCGACATGCTGCTCGCCGATCAATGAGAGGAGCCTCTGGGGATGGATCTCGCTTTTAATGATGTCCGAGGTGTCATCGGGGGTTTCTCAGGTCTCGAAGTTTCCATCGATCCCCGTCCCATGCTCTCCTCGGCTCTCTAGTGTTTACCAAGCATCTTTAGGTCGAAGGACGCAAACAGTGGATGAGCACTTTGTACGCTGTACGCTGAATGCCAAGTATAAGCCGAATGTACGCCGATTGTACGCCGTGTACGCCCATTGTACGCCGTGTACGCCCATTGTACGCCGTGTACGCCGATTGTACGCCGGTTGTACGGCGATTTCTACGGAGCATTTCTCCGAAGATTCAGTTTTCAGTTTTCAATCGCCTTTATCCAAGGGGGGTTAATTTGTTAGATGACACATCAGGCAAATGACTGACGTTGTCATTCGGGAATGGACGATAAAAGCGTTCCAATCATGGATCATTTGGCCGCGACTCAAGCTGTGAAGCGCCCCGTGTAAGAGCGTCGATTGCGCGTTGGCGCATTGATTGCGCTCTGTCACGTGGGAGGCGACCTGTCCAGTGGGATATCACCCGGACAACAGTTGCATAGCTTCGCTCAATCAACGCGACAGCCATTCCCCCCGGAACTCACAGCCAATGTTGGATGATTTGCAAACTCAATCATAATTATTATGCCCTCAGACCTGGAAGGTTGCCTCAATGTCATATATTCATTATGTTCCCGTTTGAGTCCAGGATAAGGAGAGTGGCCGAAGGCCGCGTTCCACAGGCCTGGTATTCTGATATATAGATATCGTTTATCCGGTTCAAAACTTGGCGATCGAAAATCATCAGCTAATCTTATCGATCAACCGTGCATAAGGTCGAGCTCTCTCAAGGCTTTAGGGCCGTATTCTACATCCGAAATAAGTCCTCGCAGAGAAATCTTCCTGCGTCTTATTTTCCTCTAGTTCTTGTGGATGACGAAGTTGCGCAACTCGCTAATTCGCAACGCATCTCGTAAGCCGAGGAGGATTCTGGAATTCTGGCACTGTAACGATGACCGCGGCCGATCGACCGCAAATGGGTAGATGGGAATCGAAAACTGTCTCATTGATCACAACGAACGGACCTTGCATCGAAAAATGTAAGCGAGGATTCTGAATTCGTGTGGAGCTTTAGTCGTGGTCGTGGACCGTGTTTCACACCATCTTGAGGAGGTGAAAATGTCGAATGTCGACATTCATGTGACGAGATTTGCCGGTACACGTCAACTGGGCCCCGGCGACAACTGGGCCCCGGCGACAACTGGGCCCCGGCGACAACTGGGCCCCGGCGACAACTGGGCCCCAGCGACAACTGGGCCCCAGCGACAACTGGGCCCCAGCGACAAGTGGGCTCCGGCGACCACTGGGCCCCGGCGACAACTGGGCCCCGGCGACAAGTGGGCCCTGGCGACCATTGCGTTCGTTCAAGAGCTTGAGAGCTCCCGAACGAAGTCAGCATCTCTAAAACCTCAGGTCAAATCAGATCTACGTAGAATGAGTCGATGAGATGAATGGTAGGAAAAACACTATTAGCGAGCAATGAAGATCTTTATTCTCGTGATACGATGGTGAATGCGGTCATGAGTAATAATCGAGAATTACGGATTCATCTGGTAAGTGTGAGCGATCCCACGCAACGGTCAGCAACGGTCAACAACGGTCAACGGTCATATCAACGGTCGATTAACCGAATCTCGAAGAATCGTTTCTCTCAACAAACCTGGACTTTTGAAGAAAGGTTTATTTAGAGTCGAATGAGTGGAGTCACGCAAAAAAAATTGCGTTCGACAAATCCAGACCTCTTAAACAAGCTTGCGAAGCTCACGGAAAATGGCATCGAACGTAGTTTCGCAACGTAATAGAGCCAAACTCGCTCACGATGGCCATCTGTACGTTTTCGCCAAAATGAGCAAAGACGGGTCTACGGAATTCTGGCGTTGCCAATTCAAGAATAACTCGACCAAAAAGTGTACAGCCAGGCTCCACAAAGATCTGCAATCCGACGAGCTTACAGTCATTGGAATTCACACCGATATGCCGGACTCCGCTGCCGTCGAAGTTATTCAGAAAAAACGGCATTGAAGCGTCGCGCCGCGGATACAGTCGAGACTCCCCTCCAAATAATTAACAGAATACGGATCTCATCATCAGTGGCGGCACAAGGGTCATTGGAAAGCAATAGGACTCTCTCGAGGATGATACAAAGAACTCGGAACCGGCTCGGTATTCCATCGACGCATTACACCAGCCTCGAAGCGATCGTGATACCAGAGGAATATCGCGTTTACGAAAGTACTCCGGGAAATTTCGAACAATTCCTGCTCGGCGACTCTGGACCGGACGATCCCGAGAGAATTCTGATCTTCGGAAGGTCGAGCACGGCCTCTTGGATTGGGGAAGTCTCGAAGATTTACGTGGATGGGACTTTTAGCTTGGCCCCTGACCTTTTCTCCCAAATATTCCTCATTCTCGCGGAGCGTCCGGAAACTGTGACTCCAATCTGCTACGTACTGATGTCGAATAAGTCCGAAGAAAGCTACTGCAAGGTAAATCATTTCTTCCTGATCCGGGAATCACAGAGAAGTTACCAATGTGATAGTCCAGCCTGTCTCAGCTTCTGTATATTCAAAGTATCATACATATATATTTTCCCTCACTTCCAGATGCTAGACATGCTGACTCTCGGTTGGCCAAACTCCAATCCGCAAGCGATATCCATGGATTACGAGAAAGCTTTAATGAACGCGTTCACAGCGTTCTTCCCCGTCGCACAGATACATGGATGTTTCTTCCATCTAGTCCAAAATATGAAAAACAAGTTCCTGCGCAAGGATTAAGCAGGAAATATCGGAATGAGCCCGATTTCGCGTTGAAAGCGAGAATGATCTCGGCTCTCGCTTTTATAAGACCGGATCGTATGGAAAGCGCGTTGTCAGACCTCCGCGACGAGCTACCCGCGGATCTCCAGCCGGTACTTGATTACTTCGAAGATAATTATATTGGGCGTCTCCAGGTCAGGAACGACGGATCCTTGGGACGTCGAGACGCCACTTTCCCGGTCTCTATGTGGACTGTGTACCAGCGAACACTCCAGGGCGATTCTCGCACTAATAATTACGCCGAAGCAGCACACAGAAGTCTTCAGGGGCAATTTGGGGTTCACCATCCTGGATTGTTGAAGTTCATCGATGGAATCAGGAATGCTCAACGGTCGAAAGATGCGGAGCTGGAAAGATGCATCGCTGGGCACGCCGCTCCAGGAAAGCGAAACAAATATGTCCAGAATGATGCTCGAATCATGCGCGTTCTCAACGGCTTAGATACTCGTACCTTGACGGAAACTCTGCGTGGGATCGCTCACATTTACCTGATGAATCCGTAATTCTCGATTATTACTCATGACCGCATTCACCGTCGTATCACGAGAATAAAGATCTTCATTGCTCGCTAATAGTGTTTTTCCTACCATTCATCTCATCGACTCATTCTACATAGACCTGATTTGGCCTGAGGTTTTAGAGATGCTGACTTCGTTCGGGAGCTCTCAAGCTCTTGAACAA